GAATTCTGACGACTGAAAATTGAAAAATGATTTTGATTGCGTGTTTGTTTGATGTTTATGTATACTTATGTTGTGTCCAGAAATAAAAAGTTCTCATATACCCAATGGCCAATGGTCATATCAAATATATTAATTTATCTCCAACAATCATATTCATTCTTAAACTCAAAATTAATATTTGTAGGATATTCATTTTCATATTCAACTTTTAAAATTAAATTAATATATTCGTGGTTAGGGCTGAGCATGGGTCGGTACGGTTCGGAGATCGACAAATCTCCAGAACCGTACCAAAATTCAGAGATCGCTAAATTCGATCTCCAGAATCGTACCAAAAAATCGGGACGGTTCGGTTTGGAGATTTTCATTATCCGGTTCGGTTCGGTTCGGTATTCGGGACTATCGGAACAGTTCGGTTCGATTTGGTTCGATTCGGTATTTGGGACTATCTAGTTATATTTTAATTTTTATATGCTTTAGAAAAAAAAAAAAATCCAACATATATAAACACTTCATCACATTAAATAGTTTAAATATTAAAAATAAAAAATAAATTGTAGATCAAGTGTTACCAAGTACTAAGACACACATTATCCAAGAGTTCACATCCCATAATTTTAAATACAAGTCCCATAATTCACAAACCATAATTCCATCATCAAGTAAAAGTTCAAAATGACAAAAAATAAGTGTAGGATTTCATACAAGTCTCAACGAGTTATCACACGAAAAACAATAATGCGAACTTTCATATTCTTCATATAAACTCCAACTCCATTTCCAATGCATGTCCATATTCCATAAGCCCTTCGAAAGCAATCTGATAGAAAATAAATGTTGGGTATAAAATTTACAGCAACATATACAATTATACACATGAAACATGCGACAACTTACTGTGAAGGAAATGAACTGAAAGCTGCTAGGCACTTTTGGTGTCCCAGCCACAAGTTAGATGTGAAGGCATGTAAGTGCAAACAAATGTGGCACACACCACACCACAATCACAGCATATATGGACCAAGAAGGAAATAAACAGAAGTAATAGTTGACAAAACGTACAAATGAATCATAATTACATTATATAAAAAAAGCCTACAACATAATAATATTTGCCTTAAAGATCATTATTCATTAATATCAGTACAAGTCCCCTTTATAATAAAAATTTGCCTCTACACTATAAGAAAAAATTGCATCTACAACAACATTATAAACTTACCAGACCCTTTTATTTTATACCTTTGTTGAAGATTCACTACAAGCAAACAAGTCAACAATCTAAATTTGTCCGTGGAAGTAAGCTCTATTTAATGTCAGGATCATTAATTGCCTCTGTAGAAAAAGTCAATCTCATTATCACAAGAAAATAAAAAAAAATGTATATTTAAATAAAACTATAAGAATCTGAAGCAAGTAGAATTACATACCAATCTCCAGGATTTCAAGATCTTCTATAATTTCTTCGACTCCGTTTGGTGTCTTGGCATTTCATAACCAATCTTGGCAGCATATAAGCACCTCAGCTGTAGTAGGAGTTAAAGAACTCCTAAAACGATCCAAAGTTCTACCACCGGTGCTAAACGCAGATTCAGAAGCAACGGTCGACGATTGAATGGCCAAAACATCTCTAGCGACACAACTTAAGTTTGGATACCTCACTGAATTAACTTTCCACCATGCCAAAATGTCAAAATCAACCCGGTATTTTTCCGACAATTCTTCCAGGTACCTCTCCAGTTCATCTTTACTAGATGCCCTTTGTTGATTCTCTTCTTCCAAAAAAAAATCATCAACATCATCCATGTTAACATCTTCACCAACCTCTTTCTCAAACTCAATTGCTTTCTCTTTCCCTTCACCTCTTCCAGTTTCATTCAAGACCCTATAATCCTCAATCAAAATTCTCAAAGCTTTGATCACCTTATCCACCAATTCATCAGCTTCTTTTTCATTATAATGGATTGCATACTTGACCCTCAAATATTTAATTTTGTATCTAGGATCAAGTACCACGGCAATCAAAAGCATCAAGTTTATTTTGTTAATTGACCCCCAATATTTATCAAATTTATCCCTCATTTGTTTCCCCATTTCCTTCAAACATGTGTCATTACTCTTCTCAAAGTTTTCAATTTCCTTCAGAGTACGAACAATTTCAGGAAAATACATGTTCGATGTAGCATACAACGTTCCAGACAACTTACAAGTAACATCATAAAAGCGTTTCAAAAATTTAGTAAAATGGGCAACATAGTTCCAGTCTTTCTCACAAGGCATTTGATCGCCGAACTCGTTCAAAAATTTCGTATCCAAATCTTCCAACTTATCAAATGCCTTTCGAAATACCAAAGCAGTTTCAAGCATCAAGTAAGTTGAATTCCACCTTGTAGCACAATCTAATATCAAAGACGCCTTACTTTTTACTTTTGCAAGTTCACAACATTTTCTAAACAAATCTAATCTTTGTGGGCTGGCCCTAACATATCGAACAACATTTCGAATCTTTTTCACGGAGTCACAAGCAATATTCAGGCCATCTCTCACTATCAATTGCAAAATGTGAGCAAAACACCTCATATGAAAGGCTTCTCCATCCAAAACAAAAGCTTTTTTTTTTTCAGCAACTTCTTTTTCAATTGTTGAATAGATGTATCATTTGAAGATGCATTGTCCACCGTAATGCACATAACTTTACTTAAGCCCCATTCATCCATGCAAAAGTCAATTGCATTTCCAATATTTACCCCTTTATGACTTTTAACAACACAAAAATTTAAAATTCTTTTTTGCATTACCCAATCAGAATCAATGAAGTGGGCTGTCAAACACAAATAATTGACATTTTGGATACTCGTCCAAGTATCTGTTGTCAAGGACACCCTTTGACACTGAGACTGGAGAACAAGTTTTCGTTTTTGCTTTTCCTTAACAAATAAAGAGAAGCAATCTCTAGCAATTGTAAACCTTGAAGGAATAACAAACCAAGGACAGGCAATCTCAACAAATTTTTTAAAACCTTCTCCCTCGACAAACCTAAAAGGTTATTCATCACGTATTATCATCCTAACAAGAGACTCCCTCACAGCTTCTTGTTCAAATTTCCATCAAGACAGTTTACCATTCTCATCCCCAGAGTTAGTCACACTTTGAAAATTCAGAACTTTTTGGCTTTTATCTTTACCCTTATGTGCTTCAACTAAATCCTTTTTAATTGGACATTGTCTACATGTTTCTCTTAAATGCTTCCACAACCCCGAAGTGCCAGCCTCACTCTTACAACCATAAGTCTTATCGCACCATCTACATTTAGCCCTCCCTATCTCAATGCCATTAGCGTCTTTTAGTCGTTTAAAATGATGCCACACTTCAAACCTACCCTTTTTAGCATCAGGTGAGATAGAGGTACCTTCAGCCAGAACTTTATTCGAATCAACTGTTCGTGTGGGACTTTGAGCACTTGACGTTGGCGGCATATGATTATTGGTAGAACCAGTTGTACTTGCTTTTCTCTTACCCGAAACTAAAAAATATTCAAGTAAATAATATTAAAACAAAAAAGAATAGTAAATGAACCAACTAAAATGAGCACAAAATTTTAATATTTACCACTTCTAGTTGAGGATGAATCAACCTCATTATGAATTTTAGGAGCCATTACATCAATCTGCAAACATATGAGAAAATAAAATTAGAACTTGAAGTCTTGAATCATGATTATTAAAAAACATAGGACTTTCAACATTGAAAAAAAAAAAAAAAAAAAAAAAAA